AACCCTAAACCCTAAACTTGGTATGTAGGATTGAGCCGAGGTGCTCGTAAAAATTCAACAAAGCAGCCTTCGTAACAGCCATAGCAATCAGCTTCACGGCAAAAGACGAAGCAGTAGCATGAGCAAACAATCACAACAGCAATACGAGTGATAATTGAAATGGCGAGGAGCCCCAACCCTAACCCCTAGACCCTAAACCCTAAGCCCCGGCAGGCCGCCTTTGGTATGCAGGACATGTCCAAGGAAAAAAAAGTCCGCAATTATCCAACTTTAGCCCTGAACTTTAGGCTTCGAAACCCGCAAACCGTGCACCTTCAAGCTTGCAACATCTTGCAACCCAAAGGTGCGCAGGCTTCCGGGATTATAGTTCCCCTAAAGTGGATGGAATATGGCTTTGGGTCTATTATAATAAGATCCCCATCTACCCCATATTCTATCTACTTCAGTTGAGGGGGACTCTAAGCCTCCCAACATCACAACAGAAACTCAGGAGTTTGCTGCCGATTTGAACTGCCGGGACGCGCGTGGAAGCACGGCCCTCCTCTGTGCCGCCCACTTTCATCTTGAGATTGTTCGGCTACTTCTGGAGGCTGGGTTTAGGGTTTACGGTTTAAGGGGAAGGAGTTTTTAGGAGTTACAATACAAAACCCCCCAAGTGTACCCCTCCCTCAGGGTTAAAGGAGCTAATAAGGATTGGATGGAGCTTAAGAAAGGCCTATTAGGGTTCCAAAATACTTCTGGAGGCTGGATGGTGAAGGAGTTTCTTTAGGGAAAGCCAAGTTACAACCGGTGATATGAGCTACGGACTACATATAGGTTGGGGGGGACCTATAGGGGACTACATAGGGTTTTGGGGCGGACCTATTGAGGGGGATATATTACAAATTTAGTCCAGGGCTCATATGCTAGAAGAGTCTCTAAACCCTAAACCCTAAACTCTAATGACTACTGAGAGAGAGACAGCAGTAGGGCTGGGCAAAACCAAACCTGGAACCTTAACCTGAAATGCCCCTATAGAACCCATTGGGTTAAACTCCTAGCATCTTCTTAATAACCCCTCCCCTATATAATCCCCCGTGTAACCTCCCTTTTAAGGAGTTTAGATTATGGCTCATATAGACCCTACATGATTATAGAAGTTTCCATTTTCTTTTCCATTGTCCCAATACAACCCCAATATACTTATAGTAGTTTCCATTTTCTTCTCCATTAACCCCAATATACCCTCAATAACTTATCCGTGGCATGCTTCATCAATCTTGTGCATGCATTCTCTACCGGAAAAACGCTCGGCCCTTTGACAGCAAAACTTTGATCTGTACACTCCAAAAATTTTGGGAAAGCTTCTCATGGAAGCTGATGCTGGCACCAAGGTGTGTGATGAACCCTAAATCCTAAACCCCAAACCCTAATGCCTAAACCCTAAACCCCAAACCCTAAACCCGAAACCCCAAACCCTAAACCCTAGTCCCTAAACCCTAAACCCTCGCACATCAAGGCCTGGGGCCAAAAGACTTTCGCCTTCAATTTGGGGCTTAGGGCTAAGGGTTTCGGGTTTGGGGCTCAGGGTTTCGGGTTTTGGGGCTCAGGGTTTAGGGTTGAGGGCTTAGGGCTTAGGGTTTAGGGCTTAGGGTTTAGGGTTTTGGGTTGAGGGCTTAGGGTTTAGGGTGTACTGGGCAAGCACAGCGAACATTCCCTTGTGCTAAGCCGTAAATTCCCAAGAGTGCTCTCAAAGTTTCATTTCTGACGCTCTCAGGGTCCAAAGTATACAAGCTAACTATACTCCCCAAAGCCTTACACTCCCGGAAACTAACATGGAAACCCCAAAAGGGCCCTATAAAGACTACAGTCCTTTTAAAACAGGACTATTTGGGTTTCCATGTTAGTTTGGGGGATTGTAAGTTAAGGATTCACAGTATAAGAACCCCAGAGTCAATGATCATTGTATGATAGACCCTCTGGGCTAGTATAGAAACCCTTCCCTACTTTGTACTAGATTATTATAGACACTTACTCAAAGCCCTAAATCGTATATGCACTATAGATTCTTGAATGATCATTGTATGATAGACACTTGGGAAGAGTATGAGTAGTTTCAACAATGCGTCTCGCGCGCCCATGCTTGCAGAAGGTGTGCTGAATTCATCTTGCTGAGAGCTCCAATGTAGCGAAATCCCAAGCCCCAAATCCTAAAGCCTCAACTCCACAACAGCCTCTCAAAGGGACCCGAATTTTCGAACCCCGCCGTGTCAAGGCCTCCGCCGACAAGAACATTCAAGACAACAAGGGGCGGACGGCGATCATGTGTGCACGCGGCAATGGCCAGGAGGCAATCGCAGACTTGCTTCGGATGAGCGAAGGAAACCACGTGACGCCTGGACTCGCGTGAAAAGACGGCCACTTCTATATACCTTCATAATAGCCCCAGAATATATCTGTAATTTAGATCAGTTCCCCCTGAATTAATAGCCCCTCAATATGGAGGTAATGGGGCCTTGATATACTTAAAATAGTCCTAAGTGGACCCATTACTGCAGGGGGATTGGCCCAACCTGTGATTGATAACTTTGTGATATCCCTATGCATCTTTTGCCTGCAGGTCTGGAAAGCTTAGGCTTTTAGAGCGTTTAGGGGTGTACGGGTTTACCCCAAGGGTTTAGGGGATTATGGGTTTAGCACTCTAGATTCTCGTAACACATGCCCTTATTGAAGCGCAGGAAGAGGATAAACCTGTCAAACCACTTTGCAGTCTTCACATGGTTTTGTGTCATTTCCTTAAGTCCTTAAGTATGCATGAGTTGGTACTTTGAAGCTTTGGTTGGTGTACCACTGGTGATGGTCGAAAGGGTGGTTCGGGACTTCCCAAACAACAGGATGGGTTGCGGGGATCCGGATTCAGCTTAGGTCGGGCAACGAAGAACTTGTATAGTATATTGGGGTTAGATTGGGATAATGGAAAAGAGAATTGAAACTCCTACAGTTGTACTGTTGATGGACAAAAGCATTCATGACCCTATGTACAGAAATTTCAGATGCTGCTATAATATCCTTAGGGTCATGCAGTTTTTTTTCCATCAGGTGTCTTTTGTCAACATCGTCTGTAGCAGAATTGCATGTTGGGCAGTTTTCTGAGTTACATATGGGGTTTCCAAGAATTGCAAGGTCCACCTTGTTGGGGGATAGGGTTTGGGGTTTAGGGTTTAGGATAATAAGGATCATGGTATGTTAGGGGCTATTATTGACACCCTGAACCCACGTTTTGCAGAATGGCGTTTCTTGTATCTCATACGGTCGCGTGAGAACCCAACACTCTAAGCCCGATTTAGGGTTTGGGGTTCTTGAACCCCAAATCTTCACTTGAGTAATATTTTATTTGGATTAATTATTTGCGGTGCTATATGCCCCAATATAGCCTAAGATTAGATTGTGCCCTCGTTTAGGTACAGTATTCCACGAAGAGGATCCGTATTGCCTTGCTTTATTCAACCCCCTACCGGACCTCTCCAATGCAATTCTGTTCCGTCTTTGGTATGGTTTTTGGTGCCTGAAGTTGTCAGGACCCCCGACAAAAGCTTACATTGGTGGGTTACGGAAACCCTAAACCCCTAAGGTAAACCTCTGCTTTAGGCTTCCCGTGCCCGCGCGGATATTGGACCACAAAGGAGGTCCCTCAACTTTGCCGTTGAAGGTAAAGGATTTTGGGCTTTGGGTTAAGGGTTCAAAGGTTTTTGGGTTAAGGATCAGGCGTGGATACACTATGAGAGGATCAGGCCTGAAGCTTCAATGTACGTGCCCTACTAACAAGTCTGAGAAAGCCCAGATCCGGTAAGATCTAAACAAGGCTTAGGAATAGAGCTTTGGGTTTTAGGGTTTGGGCTTTGTGGGCTTGGGGTCCAGGATTCAGGTCTTTGAGTTTCAGATTGTGGGCTGGCCGCAAGGAACTGCCGAGAATATACTAGACTACCTTCCCTGAACCCTACACCCCTAAAGCCCGGGTTAGGGTAGCCAGGGTCATGCAGATTTCTACTATCAATCGGAAGAATGATCCCTTTTTAGGCTAGAAGCTCCTTGGTCTTTGAGGTATAAGGAGGTAAAGGGGAGTTTTCCATGGTTTAGGGTTTGGGTAGGTTTTAGGTTTTAGGAGTTTCCCAAAGTTAGGGGTACCATTTCGGGGTCCCCATAATTAAGGTTGTAGTATATTGGGATCTTTATTGGGGTCCCCCCTATTTAGGAAACTACCATATACAAGTTTTTGGGCTGACAGAGTTGGAATGAGGGCTTTGCGGTGAATAGGACCTTACCTTGTTTCCAGCAAGCATGGCCTTGGGAAAAGATGTTGACCCTAAACCCTAAAGCCTAAACAGCATGCCTCAGGTGTGGCACATGACGTGACGACACCTGTGGGGTTGCTGCTGAGGACCTTCACTTAAGTTACATTAACAGGAGCATCTACTAAACGCCAGCATCAGCAGCACAATTGGGACCTCATTTGGGCTTAATTTGGACCAGGAGGGGTCAAAAACCTCAAAAACGTATCCAACACGGCTTTGAACATGGTTCTCTGCAGGCTACCATGTTTTTGCCCACAAGTGCATTTTTTCAAATCAGAAGCAACATCTTCGCAAAGTGTTTGAGAAGCAAGAGTGGTGCAAAATCCTAGCTAAGGAGCCACACGAGTGCTGGAAATTTGGGCAAAACGCACCCCAGAACTATGCAACGCGCACAGTTCATAGGGTTTGGCCTGGGCAATGCGCGCCACAAACCTGTCTCATGCTTGTCATGCAGTTGAAGTGTTACCAACAGTGGTATTAACGACCAAAGGCACCGCCCACTTTGAAGCATTATGTTGGGGTTTATTGAGCATTTTAAGCGCCCAGCAGCCCCCCAAGAGCTAGCATCACGAGCATCAGGGGGTTTGTTTAGGCCCCCAATTCTTTCTTGACACCACACATATGAGATTCCAACACCTCCCAACCCCAGACATGTTGAGGTGTCCCAGAAATGAGAAACGAAGGTGCAATTGTGCTGATGATGCTGGCCCAAAAAATTTGCCCCAAACCCTCCGTAGCGGGGGGGGGGGGGGAAGGCTCAAAATCGCTTCCAACAATCAACTTGAATTTTGGCCGCCGGCGTTAACCCCAAAACCTTAAACCCTAAAGCCTAAACCAAAAGCTTGAGGTTTCCAGTGACTGGGCATGAGACCAATCGGCGCAACAAGACTAGTTCAAGCTAGACTGCCGGGACTCTGCAGCACCTTGCTGTTTCCAGGGGCCGCGCACGAAACGAATCGGCGCAACCAGCCAGGCTGCTGTGACTCCGCAGTGCAAAGGTGCTGCATACAGTCCCCCAACCCAGCTGAACGTATGCAACTTCCGACCCTGCCACGAGTGCAAGGATCTTGCAGAGCTGCTGTCGGCTTGCTGCGTGCTCAGCGACCACTGGGGCGTGGGGGGCCTTGGGGCCTGGGCCTTCAGGGCTTTGGGCGCCAACTGCACACAAACCAAAAAGAAATTTTTGCACGTTTCTGAAAAGTCTCCTTGGCGTCGAAGTGGGCTCAGACGGCTGCCTGGAATGCAGCCGGGATGCCCATCAAGGGAGAAAAGACCCTCCATCTCCTGAAACCATCCAACACGCCCCCCCAAAGGTCGGCAGATATACAATACAAAAACATGGTTCCTCATAATTAATGGTAGCCATGTGCACAGGGAATCTGCCATGCGACTCATTCTAAGCTCCTTAAAAGCAAGCCAGCTTTGAGGGGAGCGTGGCAAGCAGGGCATTACCGTAGTCAGGTGGTTAAGATGCTTATCTAGGTGGGCCCCTGTCATAAGCCCCCAATATATACATATATATATATATACACATATATAACCCGCAACCTCTGTAAGGGGAATCCATCCATCTTGCTTTATTTCGATGCTTTAATATGCCTTAAAACCTACACCCCGAACCCTGAAACCCTAAACAGCATACACCACCCATCCCAGTACTTCCTGAAAGGGTCTCATGCGTTTGTAAAGGTGTTCTTTTCCAGTTGATTTGCCCAGCCCTGAATACCAAGCCAGAAACCCAAACCTTAAACACCAAACGGCAAAACCTAAACCCTAAATCCCACACACTGAGCCCTAAACCCTAAACCATAGAGGTATATGTATACGTACAGGTGTATGTATATGTACGGGTATATGTAAAGGTATATGTATACGTATACGTATACGTATATGTATATGATGTATACGTATATCTATATGTATATGTATATGTATATGCATATATATGTGTACATGTATATGTATATGTCCTTATGTGCCCCTTTGTAACCCCGATATCCCTGTCCCAATTTCTTGCCATCCCAACGCCCACGCCTTAAACCCCGAAACCTTCAACCGCTAAACCTTAAACCGCCAAACCCTAAAGCCTAAACCCTAAACCCCTAACACCCAAACCCCTAAGCACCTAAACACCTAAACACCTAAACTGCTAAACCCTTAAACCCCTAGTCACCTGAACCCTTAAACCCTAAACCCTCAACCCTAAACCCTGAACACCTAAACTCCTAGTCACCTGAACCCTAAACCCTACACCCTGAACCCCCTATATTACTAGGATCAACCTAAACCCTAAAACCCTAAACCCTTTATTTCCATGGCAGGGCTCCTCTACCTGCAGCGGCTGCGCCGCGGGTCGTTTCAACTCGCAGACACTGCATGCACCTTCCGAGGTGGGCTGAAGCCAGGTTTGGAAGGATTTTAGGTAGGATTTAGGGTCTGGAAGGATTTTAGGGAGGATTTAGGGTTTGGAAGGATTTTAGGGAAGGATTTTAATAGGGTTTAGGGTTTACGTAGGGTTCTGGATTTGGGGATTCAACTGTTTTTTTGGTGTTTACTTGGAGGGTCAGGGGGACTTGGTAAGTAATTTCAACCTTATGAGCCATATGACAACCTCAGTCTTGTCAATTATGAACCTGGTAAGGTTTGGGCTTCGGGGTATAGGGGTGCAGGATTTAGAGCCATCTCAAGAGAGAATGGAGAAGAAAGGTTGTAGGGACCCATGGACCTTTTAAGGATGCTACCATGAGGTTGCATTCAGCAGAGGTTGTAAGGGTTGAGGTTTTAGGGTTCAGGGTTTTCTGGAGACTGGAGGGTTGCACGGGGCCTGGGGTTTCAAGCCCTAAGCCCTAAACCCCGGGTGGGGGGAGGTTGGTAGAGATTCCCCGAGGCCTCTTTGGGACCCTAAGCCCTGAGCATCTTCACAGTTTAGGGTTTAGGGTTTAGGGTTTAGGGCTTACACTCTAAACCCCAAACCTTGAGGTTTAGGGTTTAGGGTTAGATCAATCCCACACCCAGTAACGGTACCACAAGGGGCTAC